TTCAGGGGATGCCCGTGTGAAACTGGGAGATCTGTGTAGTTGAGCAGCAGCATCTGCTGTGAAGTCGGTGTGGGAAATGCCAGCTTGTTGGCAGACAGGCTGTGATGTGAATGTGTTTTCCGTCTTGTCTCGCCTCATCGGATGTCTTTTCTTCTTTCCTTCTGTATTCATCCCACCTTTTCAGTCGTCTAGTGTTTTTCATGCCCATCATTTTGATTCTGCTGGAGCCCATTGGACTGCTCTGATCATAGTCTGTGGGCAGACGCAGTTTATTCACACCTCCTGCTGCAACACAGTTGCCGTGTGAAATGCTCACTATAGTGTGTTTATGAGCCGTGAAGACTCAATCAAGCTGTGCAATGCAACTGAACTGGCAAATTGGCTACGATATTGCTGTCTTCATTTCAACATTTTCTGTGCCTTTTTTTTAACTGGAGCTGTTTACTGCAGCACTTAAAGAAGAGGACTAGAGTAATATTTCATTATTTGAGATTGCTCTATGGATGGCAATGCCTAAAATATCTCAAAAACTATTGGATGAATTGCCAAGAAAGTTTGAACAGACATTGATTGTCCCCAGAGAAAGACTCCTAGTGATTTTAGTTATCCCCTGACCTTTCATCTAGTGCCACCATCAAGTTGACGTGTGGTTTTGGGTGAAATATTTTGACAGCTAATGGATGGACTGCCATGGAATTTGGTATTAGGACATTCTTGTCCCGCTCTTATCTCCTGACCTTTTCGAGGACCAGCAGGTCAACATTTGACTTTGTCCAGTGCTTTGGTTTATGAACAACCTGGAAAATTGATGACACTCCCATCAGCCTCAGCTCTCCTTTAAAATAAGTGTGCACATGTCATTGTGAGCATGTTAGCATGCTATTGGTAGCATTTAGTTCAAAACACTGTTCTGCCTAAATGCAGCCTCACAGAGCTGTTAGCAATTGCTGTAAACTTATTTCATGTAACACTTGTGCCACCCAATGAAATATGGGTTCTATAGGAATTCCAGAAAATTAAGCCCTAACCACAAATTGTCGGAAGCATCAGCCACATGATCAAGAAATTCTCGTTATGTAGCTTTAAGACTTGTTAGTCACAGACTTATAATAGCCGTGTCATAGATTTGCAGTTTGTTGCCTAATTTGTTTCCCTGTGCTACTTAACTTGTGATACTGCTTCCGAACAATACAGTATTTATTACGGCCGTAGTTCTTTGGTCCCAGCATGGTATCTTGACACCTCAGCAGGCCTGGAGGACTCTGGCAGGTACTTCAGTCTGTCTCTGCTGAGGAGAAGATGCTCAGGTTGGCCGTTTGGCTGCGGGGCATCTGGTTTCAGCACCCGCCAGCAGAATGTGTAATTAAGCCCAATTTTCCCGATGGTGGCTGACATGTGCCAGTCACTGTTGGGCTCAGTGCCCTGGGCTAGACTAATCCCTGGCGGTGTGGTCACACCGCTAATAGGCTGCAGGACAAATCTGTTTATTTGACACCAGGTTCACACTCACCTGGGTTTCTCATGTGCTTAAACCATAAGACTGAATTTTGCCTTGCCTTTTCCCCAGTGCTCCATAAATAAACATAAATGAATTATCAAATATCATGACTTTTGGTTCCACTGGAAATGTTTTTGGATATTGGCAAAATAAAAAACCTTTACTTAGAAAATGTGCTGTTGTCAAATGAGTCGACTTGTTGACGTATGATTTGAATTGTGGACTAAAATATTTATTCTGCAAAGCAATTAAACTAGTTATTCTGGTTAGTCGTGATCTAGTCCTGATAATAGGTAAGCATTTTAACATTTATCAGGCACCCCTGCCTTTTCATACTTGCTTACCTGTCAGACAGAGTGGATATTTATCAAATTGTCAATACATACTGGATTTAATCAATTAACTTAATTGAGTTGATAGCTTACGCACTTGATACAAGAATTAAGGCTGAAAACTCTATTGTCTACTGTTTGTGCATTTAATTGCTGAACTCCATGACCTTTTGAATTTCAGAATAAAACACAGTGGAGATTTATGCTTAAGCCCAAATATTTTGGAAGTGGACTGTCTTTGTAAAATGTCTTCAGTGTGTGTGTGACTAACATCAGCAGACTAATGCAGAGAATACATAAAAAGAGGGAAAATGTTATTATCCTTCCTCCTCTCGTACTGGCCAGGCTTTGTACAACACAGAACAGCCCCCCAGAATCTTTTTCAAACTTCAGCTTCATCCCGCTGATATTCCCTCAGGGAAATTAAGGATTAGCTCAGCCTTTCAAACAGGAATTCCTCAGTCAGTTCGCATGAATGTGCCCCCTCCCAAACCAAATCAACTCTGTTTTGCCCGTTGCCCTGCTATGGGTCTAAGCCCGTCCCTCAGTTAGGTTGGTTGTGAGCCGTAGTAAGAGGATGAAGTGGATTGTCGAGCACCACTCTGACTCATGCCCTTGAGTACCATGCTGCCAAAACGCTCTGAGGACGTAACACTTGGACTGCACTTAAAACGGCTACTACAGGCAGCTGTGCTTATAGCAAATGAAACTCTATGACAGTGAAGCATACATCTTATTAGATGATACAGATATTGGATAAATAAACACCCATATCGCTTATTGGAGCTGTAATAACATGGAAATAGAAACTAGGAAGTGACATCATATTGTGATGTATTTCACCCATGTTAGGTTTTCTCTGGTAATGTGGCTGATGTGACACAATGTTTGTGTTCCTGAGTGGCATTTTGGCCATGACACATCAGAGGCTGCTGAGGAGGACCCGTGTGCAAATGCATCATACATTGTAGCCTTTATTCTAGATTTTTCTTTAAAATTGATGACTTTAAATATGAGAGGGAAATCTTACAATATGTCTCGTGACACATCTGACTTAATGGAGTTTTATTTAGCACAAACTAAGCAAGCAAAAACCCACTGTTTCTCAACAGATACTTTTTTTTAATGGACTCGGATCAACTATACATATAACACAAAATATGTTAACATTTATATTGCAATGCCTTTTTAAAGTAAATGTCCTAATGTTCACTTGCATGTCACAACAATCAATGCAATGGAATTACAGTCGTGTTAATTATGTTTCCGAACCTGTGGCATGACTTCTAGCATTACTCTGGTAGTCTTTACTGCCATATGCCTGAATTTGTTTAATTCTCCAGTCACAGTCGCTGCTCTGTTCATGTTTATGTTAATTTGTTTATGGGTTTTTTGCTGTAAGCCCTTACATAACTCTTTATCTAGGACAGCAACCAGAGGTCTGTTTCTGTCTCAGTTTTGCCTTTTGATGTGTTGGACGGCCACGCACAAGACAGGGTTGCTGTACTCTTAACTACAAAATTTGGTTGCTGGTTCTGGAGGAACGCAGAGGATGTGTGAATGTGTGATGCCTTAAGAGCCGACATAATCGTAGCTCACACATTTTCCCCTCTCTAACAAAAAATTATCTATCCCCAGCATTTCCTCTTACCACATTTTCACACACGAGTATTTCCTCCTGGCACACCCTGCTTTTGATGTCCCGTGTCTTCATGGCTGCCTGGCATGGTAAGATGAGACCCAGAAGGCCTGCTGTAAGAAATAAATGGCTTAGGTTATGACTAGTAGAGTGGTGCATCCCTGTGTGACTGTGCTCTGCCAGGCCCATTGTTCTGCAGGCTATAGAGCCCTCCAAGACACTTATTTAATGAGACGGCTCTGACTGTGTAATTGCAGACTGCTCTGAGAGCTATTATGGGAGATGTATTTTAGGGGGGCAAAACAGCCATTACTGCGACAAAAAGTGTGTGTGAACCAAAGTCATACGGTAGCACTGAAGCTGATATGAGGAGGCTGAGCATCAGGCTCTCTACACACTGATTCTACCATGGATCAATTCATATTGTGTCTGTGAGGGTGTTCATCTCCTGGAGCTGATATTTGATTTGTTTTTCTACACTGAAAAGATTTGCAAATAGCCCATGCTGTTTCCTCCAAAGGCTTTTAGTCAGAAAAATTACTTCAAAATCCAAGCCAGTCATAATTTATAAAGCTATCCTTCTGTCAGATCAGTAGTTTTTATTGGTTTTGAAACAGATTTCCATAATGTATGAAAAGCTATGTAAATAATAATAAAAAAAAAAGTAAATAAGATTTCTCCTTACTTTTTTCATTTTCTCTCCCATTCATGATTGATTCTCTGTGAGGCCCAGTGGTTTTGCTCCCATTCCCTTTCTGTTTGCCAAATGACTCTGGTCTCAGATATTTGGTTCACTAGTGCTGGGATTTCCTTGCCACATGATTTATTTAGGATGTGTTAAGGTCTTTCAGAGAGCCTCACATCCCAGACTCTGGCAGTCCGTCTCACCAGACATCCTTCTTCTTAAATTACTCCCTCCGTCTCTCTTTGCTGTCCCCTCTATCATCACTCTTTTTCCTCCTCACCACAGCGCTCTTTGCAAATTAAAAGAAACAAACCAATCTGAGCTGACAGCTGAGTTCAGCTCCAGTGAATGAGAGTACTGGCCTATTGCTGGCCTACCTTACCGCTTTACCCTATTCGGTGCATTTTGGCTCCGTCCGAATGCTTTGTTTGTTGTTGCTTACACTGCATAACAAAACCCTTTTCTACTTTACCTACCTGCTTCAGGACTTGGCCTAAATAACCAGGCTGAGGTTGCGTGGAGTTACAGTAAATGAGACATAATTAGCTCGTCTTAGCTGCTCAGTGCTGATAGTTTCTTTTCCTTCCAGGTTATCTGGTTCGATACTGCTTCTGGCATGTGCTTCTTCATTCCTGTCCAGAGATAGAGTGCATCAATGTACGCAACCACCTGTATGTAGGTGGGGATGGGCTGTACCGTAGGTACCGGTTGGAGCCCTGAGATAGCAATCAAAACAGAATCAGTCACACCCACAGTTAAAGACTTTGCAGAGGGATAGGCGGTGTTTGTTTGGTGTGTTTTTGTGTGTTGTGTTTTGTGCTTAACAATCCTTTCTATTCTTAACAGCATCTGGAGAGGCCCCAATGTGAATTGTGTGGACAGCACTGGATACTCCCCTCTCCACCACGCCGCCCTTAATGGACACAGGTAGATCAGTGATAAATACCTCTCAGAATTGGGGGGGTGTTAGCTAGAGCCCGTTTCAGCTCCTCTGTTTATGCTCTGCATTAAATGAGGTCTGCCCTCACGGACAATTGTCCCTCTGGGAAGGTAAAGCTGTTGATTGGCTGCTTGTTAAGGCCTTGTGTATTTATTAGTGTGGTTTACAGCTGTGGCATTTTCTGACCCGCCATGTCCCTTCATTCATCTGTAGCGAGGTAGTGGAGGCGCTGCTACGAAACGAGGCCTTGACCAACATTGCTGACAACAAGGGCTGCTACCCTCTCCACCTGGCTGCGTGGAAGGGAGATGAACATATCGTCAAACTGCTCATACACCAAGGACCTTCACACCCCAGACTCAACGAGCAGGTCTGGCACTGCATTTGCTCGTCTACGTGCGTGTGTGTGTGTGTGTGTGTGTGTGTGTGTGTGTGTTTGTGTGTTTGTGTGTGTTTTTGGTTCCTCTTCTTCACTCCCTAGGTTCCAGGATTCAAACACACTTACTAATGCTGGTAATATCAGTGAAATGACGTCAGTACTAAACAGATTTCTTCCTCCATCTGTTCAGAGTTTGTTAGACAATGTGAGTCTATGTCTGCAGAAAGCAAAAGTCAGCAGTAGCAGTAGTAACACTTTGCTTTTCAGCACATTGTCTGAACTCCAATAGTTTCATAATTACAGTTCTATTGGTTTAGTCAGCAGCCGTAGGAAGTCAATCATTTTTCCACTTGGTAAGAAGGTAATTTTTAGCAATGAAATGCCACTTTCCATGCCATTTCGAATTCTACTTCAGCATGGCATGCTCTATACTGTATTTGAACATTAAGAATGTCAAAGTGATTGTCAGCAGATTTCATTAACCTCAGTGCATCATGAATCTGACTTCTACTATGATACTTGAAGTGCTTTAACGCCATGCTAGCGTGAGAAGAGCTTGTTTTCCCTAACCATTTTAACTGTTTTAACTCATGTTTCATATTTTGTTTGGTTGCTTACTGCACAGACGGCCTCCATACCGGCAACATCTCTGGCCTGTCCTGTTTGGAATGAGGAGAAATGACCCATTATGAGCCCCACAAATGTAGTATGAACCATAAAATTTAATCAAACAAGTCACCCTCCGATATGGCAAAAAGTCTACCTGTCTCATTTTGTGTCATTTCTCCCTGCCACTTCATGACATCTGATTGTTCATTAACTCAACTCAATTTTTTTCTCCTTTTTTATTTAGTTTGACTCATTTGTGATCATCATTCATTTGTTCATTGCTTGTCTGAACCAAAACCATCGGCCTATCTTCTCTTCCTCCCTCCCAGAGCTCTGTAGACCATAAAGAGTTCAAACGCTGTGGGCCCTTTGACCCCTATATTAATGCCAAGGTGTGTACACGGTGCTGCCGAAACAACATTTCCTTTTGAAGTGCTTCTTTGCTTTCCTGCTGTGTTGGCTTGCTGTGCTTGGGTTTGGTTTGTTGCTGCTGCTTGCGGGGCCACTTTGCTGCAGAGATATGGGGAGGCTTTTAATTTCACAGACTATCGGTAGATCCCTGTCCTCTGGCTTTCTACTCATGTTCGCTTGTGATCTCCAACTTTATTGAGAGTTATGTTTCGCACAAGTGACACTGCACTACAACATGCCCTCCACCACAGAACGTAATCTTTTTGCTACGTGTTGCAATACTGTTGTACCGGCCTATTGCCCCAGAAAGTTATGTCTGAGGGCAACTGGAGGTGAATTGTTAGTCTGGATTTACATTTTTTCTTCTTGGGGTGTTAAAGATTTAGTGAATTTGATATGTAAAATTGTATAATATTCAGGCTGAAACAGCAACAGTAGTTGGCACCACACAGCCAGCAGTAGGAGGAAATATTGACTGATAGAAACCAAACTATTAATTAAAGCTACAACAACCACTATGGTAGTCTTCTGTAATATTGGCTGCTGGACACTGATTGATTGTGTATTGCTACAAATTGAGGGCTAAATAGATGAATTGTGTAATGCTGGAACTAATGATTGTTGCTGATTAATTATGATTGAATGAATTCATTATTTTTACTATACAAACAAACAAAACTACCTCAATTCAATCTGACCTATAGCTACAAAACCTGAAGTATCAATTTATTATAATACACATAGATGACCCATTCTTTGGATTTGTTAAGCTGTACCCAACGAAATGTTATTTTTCACACTTTTACACATTATCCTGAGTTGTGAAATGAAGTTGGTACCAAATGTATCTGTTCCACATTCTGTTCGGAGTTTGTTAGAAGAACACTTTGCTTTAAAGCACATTTGTTGACTTCTTGTTTCATAATTACAGTTCTAATGCTTCAGTCAGCAGCCAGCAAAAGTCAATTTATTTTTAGCAACGTGGCTCTTGTGATAACACTGTTGTATGACCCACCACTTTGTTCCAGACTGAAATATCTCAAAAACCTTTTAATTGATTGTCATAATTTTTTCAGACATTCATCGTCCCCAGAGGATGAATTTTACTGACTCTTCTAGCGCCATCATGAGGTTGACTTTTTTTTTTATTGGGAAATGTCCAGACAACATTTAGATGGATTGTCGTGATGTACATGGTTAAGGATACATTTAAATAACTTTGATTATTGATTAAGTTTCCCTCGATCACCATCATAAGGTCAAACTTTTAGTGTGTCTAATACTTTGGTTTATGACTAAACACGGGCAAAACGAATCAAATATCCTTCAGCCTCAGCTCTACTTCATGTTTACTTAATTAGCAGATTTTAGCCTGCTAGCGTGCTAAACTTACATGGTGGACCCAGTAAACATTACTTACTAAACATTTGTACATTAGCAATTGCATTGTGAGCATGTTAGCATACCGGCTTTAGCATTTAGCTTGAAGCACCTATGTGCCTAAGTACAGCCTCACAGAGATGCTAACATGACTGTAGACTCTGTTTTGTAGACAAACAATTATTTCTGAATGAATAATTTATAAACTCCAACAACAACTTGTTTTAGTGCTACCGGAATACTTTAAAAATCTATAAAATAACCCCTCAAAGATTAAAGAAATTAAAAAATTATGATACCTCTAAGAAAAATCAGATTGAGGGGGCAAACATGTCTTGGGAAACTAGGCACTTAATAAACTGCTCATAACCTGGGGACAGACCAGGAGGAACCTTTACTCTTTATCCCTCATTAATGTGACTTTTCTGGATGACATAGTATTCCATCAGGCTACCCAGGGAAGCTCCAATCACAGTCTGTCTACATGAGGAGGATGGCTGTTCAGCAGACACCGCAGCGCTCACAGTGTCTCTGACAGTGTCGCCCCTCACAGTTAGAGCAGTGCAAACATGTTGGTCGCTCTATGATTGCATTTTCAGCAGGCAGAGAGCTGGAAACCCACCCAGGCCTGTAGATAAAGCTGTACACTATTTTGGAACATTGTCACATTTTCCCTGGACTAATCTTCTTAGTGTTTGGATGGGAAGGCTGGCTTTCTTTAATGCTGCCTGCTATATATTAGAGTGTGACTTTTCCTGCTGTGGTTGTCTTACTCTCTTTTTCCATTTATTCTGTTCAAACGATTTCACATTTGGTCTTGTGGTCTGCTGAGATTATTGATGGTGTCTTAATGTAAACACTTTCAGGATAGTTTGGGGACCACTACCTGGTCATGATCCTGAATAATTGAAGCCTTGTTATGAATAAATCAGAATCGTGGATGCGGTGTTGATGCTCTGGCCCTGGCTGTGGTCATGGTTGATGGCATCATGTGACTGAGTGGGCGGGGTGCCTCATGCCTTCCCTCTTATCACACTCCAGGACCAGAGAGCCAGATCATCAGGAGGAGGAGGATGGGAGGTTTTCAGTGTACCAGTCTCTTTGCATCAGCATCAAAGAAAGATTTCCATGCCATGCTTGTCGGTGCGAGTGTGTAAATGGGTGTATTTGCCCCTCCTCCTCTTCTCCCCACCTCCCAGTTTGTGCTTGAAAGCTCGCGTTGCTGAGGAGAGGAAGAGGTGGGACGTTGTCATAGTAACCGTGTCACAGCTTATTGGTTGTACAGTGCTGGGGAGTGACCCAGTGGTGAGATGTGCAGAGGGAGCTAGCCAGACATGAAAGGTGCGTGATGGGGCTTTAAGAGGGGTCCGGGACTCACAGTCGATTGGGGCTTCAGTGGTCCCCTTCAGGGAAGCTCAAGGGATCAGTCTGGACTGGGTCCAATTCTGTCATCCTGGTCCAGGAAGCCAGCCAGACCAAATGTTTATTCATTATACCTCTCTGTGCTCTCTCCTGCTGATAGCGTCCTGAGTGGGTTGGCCACTTTGATGTTTCATTTGCCTCAGTAGGGGAGAGCCAACCACTCACCACAGGACCTGACCTGGACTGACCCCGCCATTTGAATATCGGGGTTATACAGGTTTAGTGCATACTGTTCAAGAAAATTTACTGAAAAACAAGTTGTAGACACTGGAGCTGAAATTATTAGTTCATTAACTGATTAGTCAAAAAATACCATTATGATAATCGATTTGCTGCAACTAATGGTTTTTCATTAGGGATTATGTGCTTGTCAAAATGTTTTACAAGCCCAGGATGATGTGGTTTCTGGTTTTATCTGATCAACACTAGGAAAAAAAACCTGTTTCCTATCGCATAACCCAATGAAAAAGCAGCAAATCTTAAAATTTGTTAGACTAATTGATTTAATTTATTGATTAATTGTTTTAGCTTTAATATATTAATTGGTAAAGTCATTTTTAAGCAAGTTTTATCATTGTAAATTTGATATATTTGGGTGAAATTATATATTTAAAGACATAAATAGAGAAGAGAATCTGTAGATGTATTGATAATAAAAATAATGCTTAGGTGCCGCCCTATTAGACTCCTTCTTATGCCAGATTTTATTAAAAATTATATTTGTTGTGAAGAATAATCTCATATGGAAGGACAGCATAAGGCTTATCTACTTATTATCATCATGTAATTGTCTATTATTCTTATTATTTTTTATTACTTAATACTATTAGTCAACTATCTATCTATGTATATATAAACCCTCCCCAGCAGACAATTTGTCTTCATTGACCTCTTTTTTATTAATTAGTATACATTCTGTGTATTACTCCATAATAAGACTTAGCCGTTGGTCTGCCCAGACTCATATCACGCTACCTCTCACACTGGCTTCATCTTCCTATATAGGTCACATGTCTAATACAATATATTTTCAGATGAGTTCCTCTGACCCAGGCTCAGAAGTCCGGGTTCTCTGTCATTAATGCAAACTCAAACAACATCATGCACTGTACATTACCCTGGGAAAATTCAAACAGAATAAAATTGATGGTCAAGAGATGTCAAATATGTGACATTTAATAAAAATACGGCAAAATGTTTTGGTTTTAGGCGGATATATGCTCATATACAGACTGGAAGTGGATCATATGTCTTTCTGTCAGGCCTGGTGTGTAGTATCTCAGAGGGCTGACATAGGAAAAGTTTCTGATGGCAGCCGCAGAAGTAATTTCTTCGGACTTGGTCACCTCATTATCAGTGGAGCAGAGTTTCCCCTGCTTCCTCTAGGCACGCTTGCAGTCTGCCAACCCGCTCATTTATCCCCTCTGTCTGTCACTTCAGTGTCCAGCTCTTCCCTCAACAACACATCACACACCCCTCCCTTTACCTTCTGCTCTCTGCTCGTCCTCCAGGACTCATTCACGTTTCTGTCGTGCCAAGAAATGGTTGAAGCCCATTTGACGGGCCCTTGAGAGGACTTGTTGTTATTTAACACATAGATCTGGATTTCTCTATTGTCATGTATTCACATTTGCAAATTTTCAGGGTGTGTCTTCTATGGCAGTTGGAGCCATTTGTTACTGGTGGAGGAGAGTCTCAGAGCAGAGATGGTATCTAAGATCTTAAAGGCTGTTAGGTTTGTTTTGTTAGGAAAGTGTGTCCCATTTAATCAAGTGGAATATGAAGGGGAAAACTAATCTTTCCTGTAAAAGGGAGAAAAAGTCCACTCAACAAAGAATTAGAGTCTGTGGCAGGAAGCCAGTTAGACATTCATCTCATTACAGGACTGCACGGCCTGTTTACTCTGGAATGCATGACAGTGTCCAAATAAAAATCCACTATTAGAGTCAGCCTTTATTTTATTGTTGCTGTGCATTGAAGGGAAAGAACACGTTGGGAATTCAGATGAGTATTTACACGGCTATTGACAAATGGAGAAAAATACCAGGGCTGCAATTAGTTGATTTAGTTTTTCCTAATTTCCCAGAGCTCCTTCAACTGCAACTGTCCTTCAGATTTCTTGTTTTTTTTTTTTCGACCAACTCAGAGATATTTAAAACAAAAGAAAATATAAAAAGAAACATAACACGATAATGTTTTACTTTTTAGCATTTATTGGCAGTACATAAACATTTAATACATGGTTTATAACACACTATAATGTAGTTGTAAGTAGATGGTTATTAATGTGTTTGTCAACAACTATAAATCCTGTGGACACCCTTTATTTGAGTCTGGTGTAAAAACAAAAGCAATATAGCTATATAGTTATAATTGTTGGCAAATACTGTACATGTATCCTTATATCTGATTATAACTATTTTTTTGCTTCAGCATTACAAACTCTATTGTTCGTGAGCCAGTGAAGCACTCCCTGTTTTTTTTCTTTAAGACTGTACAACTGACAAATGGATAATGATTTTCTAACAGTTGTTTAACCCCATTACAAACGGAAAATGGACACCTTGTGCGTGTATGAGATCCAGGATTTATATGAATTTGCAAAAACTAGCAGGATTTCAGATTGTGACAGTGGAGGCAGGCATTCAGTGAGCATGGGCAGCCCTTTGGCACACGAGCTGCAACAGCTGCTCAGCCCACCCCTCCACCACCACCACCACCATCACCCACCACTACTACTACCACTACCAGGGGCCAGGGTGACGTAACCGCTGCCTCGCTCTGCTGCCAGCCAGCACGTCACGTGACTGAGGTTGCTAGTCAAGCCGTGTTACCATCTCCCAGCTCCAGGTTGTGAGAATCATAACATCGTCCGTTCCCTCTGTCATTCTGTGCGCCTCTATCCCCCTCCTCTTAGAATATTCTGCAGCATGAAAACACAATGGAGTGTAATCTCCAGATGTTTCTGGTTAGGACAGGGTTTATCAATCAGCAGCAGACACCAGTGGAGATCTTAATCTCTTCTTGTTTGACATGCACTGAGGTCTAAATCAGGATGAGGTTTTATTCTGTCTGCAGCACAGTAAAGGCAGGATTTTCATAAAAACATGTACTGTCCAGGAAGTCTTGGCTGTGCCATATGAATTCTAATCTCCTTCCCCAGCCAGGCTGCTAGTCATTGGTGCCTTTTTGTGCAATAGCCTTCAGAGTGCTGTCTTGTTAGTACATGATTGTTGGATTGCTCATGTGGGCTGTGGTAGTACAGTGGAGATGAGGCTGAACCTGTTCCTGTTATAGAGTGAGATTTCACACCGGAACGATTTGAGCTATTTGAGAATATAAGTGTTGCACTGAAAATCAAAAATTAATTTAGTATGTAACAATGTTTTGGGTTTTTTTTTCCACTGCAGGGCTATATCAGTCTGCTAAAATTAGTTTCAAACCAGGCTACCCATTTTTAGTTCCCCCTTTTTAATTACAGAATGCTTTTTCTCATAGTCTTGTGTGTGCAACTCCTGCCTGCAACAGCAAGTCCTTCTTTAAGTTAGTATATGCAGAATATGTTTTGCAAAAGATAATGTGTTTAAAAATTAAAATCAAAAAGACAAAACATAGTCAAAATTGGAGTGGTAGAAATAGTTTTGGGGCGTGTTTGGGAGTTCCTGGAGAGACCCAATAGTGGAAAAACCCCTGTATGAATAAAATGTGTAGCATAGCTTGCATCAAAGGCGAGGCTCGATGTCTCATTGCTGCTTATTTCTTATCAGTGTGTCAAGTAGCTAGTCAGCCGTGTTTAATGCAGTCAGATGCTGGATGACACGTAGCTGTAGAGCAATGACCACAGCACTGACAGAGTTCAAGGTATCAGTCCACTAGGTCTGTTTTGTTGCACTCCTGTTTCATGTTTTAGTAATAGCAAGATTTACAAAATGTCATTGCCCTGTTCTCAGAGACAGTTGTTTTGGATGCTTTGTATACATCATTGTGTGCTAGATTTACTTGGTTTACTATTGAAGCAGCAGACCTGCACATTTGAGGAAGTGAATCATGCTGATTTAATCACAGCATGTATGTTTGCCTGCTGAAGTCATCTAAACATTCAGAGTAAATCTATCTAAAAAGCTGTGGCAAATGCTTGTTGGTGCATCACAGATGCAAGACGGCATGCTATTTTTATGTGCGGCCTGGCCATTTCTCTGCAAGTGTGCGTACATGTGAGTTTGTTTTGAGTCAAAGAGAGCATTGTTGAAAGGTGAAACAAGAACACAAATCCAACTGATGAAACCACCCAGGCAGTGAAAACCGAGGTCACTTCGGTTTAATTCTCAGAGAAAGTAAACCCTTTTTTTTAATTTGTTTTGTTCCGTTAAGACGAGAGCATGTTTTTCCTCAGCCAGGCTTCTGTGCTCCCTCTTTTGATAGGCAGGTGTCGTTTTGTTTCTCTAAGCTCCACCTCCTTTCTCTCTCAAGCTGTGACCTGATTTGCCAGTATAGTACAATACTCACTCTCTCTCTCTCTGAATCCCACTCTCTCCCTCTTACAATGAAGGAGATACCTGCTGATCCCATCTGGCGCCAGGTCTTTGTGAAAGTCTCATTGAAGGGGTGACTGACACCTGTCTACAACTGCCCTGTTGCCCCCTCCACATGATATCCTGTCTGCCGTGGCACAGCTGGCATGTTCCGCTGGGAGTCGCCCAAACTGGCATCATGCATGTCCATGTGGGGGCTTCTCATGCCAGCTGTCAGGCCTTTGTAGGTGGCTCTGTGTATCTGCGATGAATGCCTCTTGGAGCATGTGGTTCCACAATAGCTGGAATTATCTGCCACACCCATCTATGCACAATGTGTGAATAGAGCCAAAGAGCTGTAGTGTTATACAGGCTTTATTTGCAAGATTGCCAAGAAATACATTTCTAGGTAAGGTGCGAGGTGTGCAATTCTGTCACACCTTGAGAGACTGAGAACAGTGATTATAATTATTTTTTCACTCTCCCACACTCATATTGTTTGCTACTATAGGCAGGGTTTTATGTTTTTTTTTTCTGTTCTACTGGTCTCCCATTTTTAGATACAACCCAGCAGCAAAGTCGTAAATACCGCTATCCATGTTGTCATTGTATTTCAGTTGTTTGAATTGGTCAAGAGAGTATTCCCATGCCACCAAGTCAGCATCTCAGTTCAGCTCCTGTATTGCAGGGTTTGCCCCCTGCTGGCCGTTCATGATAGAGATCATCAGCAGTGCTAGATGTTCTCAGGTCTATTAGACATTGATCTTGTTGCTGCATGTGAGCAATTAGATCCAATAAGCACCACTTACTGAGTTTACATTGTAATTACTGATTTTAATTACTGTTTGTTTGCTTGTTCTACAGTGAAGATCTTTTTAAAATGTGGCCAAATTTTAGGTTGCAAAGATGACATCATTTTCACTTTTGCACAGAATGGATCACAGTGATGTGAACATTTTTAACATTAAGGACACTTATCTATTACTGGTTGTTGATATGTTGAAGTTGTATTATCAAGTGTTAGTGGATTAATTGGTTTGATGATCAATAGAAATATAAATGGCAGCTGTATTTATAATCAATTAATTGATGAATTGTTAAGTCATTTTTCAAGTAAAAAGGCTAAACATCCTCTGGTTCCACTTTCTCCAGTATAAGGATCTGCTGCTTCTCCTTTTTATATAAATGTAAATGGAATATATTTGGGTTTCGGGCTGTTGGGAGGTTGGCCAAAACCAGATATTTCAACATGTAACTTTTGGCTCTGGAAACTTTTATAGACCACAGTTGATTGAAAAAACAAAAAATCATATTAATAAACTATGAAAATAATTTCTAGTTGCAACCTGAAAATAGTGTTTTTGCTTTTCCGCACTACAATCCAGTCCTTCTTTCTCCGCTACCCCAGAAAGACAATAGTCAAAATGCAGTGTAAGGGGAAATGCAACACTGGTGTGCTCTGATGTGTGAACAGAAACAGCAGTGCCTCATAGATGTGACAGCCCATCTTGTAAAGACGAAACTAATGGGCCAGGTCTCTCTCGTTGTAACTAAACAATGCCAGTGACATTCTGACCCCTTGTCCAAGTGGCCCATGTCTCTGCTAATTCCCCACCTGTCTCTGCCCCTCTGCTAGAACCCTGCTGCCCCTGGCACTCAGTGCCATTCCCAACACCTGTCCTCATTAGTCCATGTAGGTCTGCCAGTCAGGCGCACCCCCTCCCCACTCTGCCAGATATTCCCCCCAGGCCTCACTATGTGCTTCATTCTGGTTGGTGCTTTTTCATGACCTTTTAATCAGCTAATGTGGCGGGCTTTGTGCACTGATTGGTTTAACCTCACGATGACTCCCCCGAGTCACCTATTCTTACTCATTAACAAACATGACTCAGCTCATGTCCCTTCTCTACTGATCTCCTTTATTACATCTACTTGTCACTTTTTTTCCTGTCTATATTGCCCTATGTCCCTGTGCTGCTTCTCACCCGTTCATCCACCCCCCAACAGAACAATGACAACGAGACACCGCTGCACTGTGCTGCCCAGTATGGCCACTCCGGGGTGGTGCGGCTGCTGCTGGAGGAGCTGACAGACCCCACCATGAGGAACAACAAGTTCGAGACTCCGCTGGACCTGGCTGCACTATACGGGCGTCTGGAGGTAGTCAAGCTACTGCTCAGTGCCCACCCCAACCTGCTCAGCTGTAATACCAAGAAACACACACCGCTGCATCTGGCCTCTCGGAACGGACACCTGTCTGTGGTGGAGGTGCTGCTGGACGCTGGCATGGACATCAACTATGAGGTGTGTTGTTGTCTATATGTGTATGTGAACTTAAAAGTTTCAGTTTGCAAGTGTTTCTTAATATGCTGTCATGGCCCAAATCATGTTGGGTAACTTAATCTGTTCTTGCAGCACTTCCTCTCGCTACTTCCTACTAAAGCTATGAGATTAAATGTAAAACTCTTAAGCTCTCAGTTTGCAAAGGAACTGCAGTGGTATCAAAGCAGAGCTGGGCGTACTCCCCCTGGTGGGCCCTCTGGCTCTGACTCTGTACCAAACTGTGCCATCCATCTGTCTGGAGATACTTTTCCCTTTACTCTGTCCTCCTTTCCTCTGAATCAAGGATGGGGAGTCAATCCAGTGTCCTTCAGGCCTTGCATCCTGCAGGTTTCAATTAGCATGGCCCTGTGAGCTGGAAAATGATCTGCTTTGATTCCTCAACCACATAATTGTCAGTAGAGAAGTGGACCTGGGTGGTGGGCATAAATCTGACAGTCGCCATACACTGTTTATCTTACTAAAATATGGGTGCTGGAGTAGGTCTGATAAGTTTAAGTCATCTGGCAATTGTTGCAGGAAACAAACGTGTGCTTTAGTTCCTTAATTTTCGAAATAATTATGTTTGTGTCACGCATATCTGAACTCTCTGTGCTTGTGATTCTTTATGTTTCTGGTTTCCTTTTTCTGCTCAGACGGAGAAAGGCAGTGCCCTTCACGAAGCAGCTTTGTTTGGGAAGGCAGATGTGGTGCAGAAACTTCTCAGTGCAGGTCAGACTTCAGTGCCACTTAAGTAACACTGGAATCACTTGCAGCTATTGGCAAAAACCCACACATAACACATGACTGTTTTTTGCACCAAACTGTTCCTGTCATCATTCATCAGGTATCGATGTGAACATTTCGGACCAGAAGGGCCTGACGGCGCTGGACACTGTCAAGGACATGCCCTCGCAGAAGAGCAGAGAGATAGTTGCTCTCATCCTAGGTGAAGACCAAACGTGTGTTGGGAAGTGTCCTCTTGATTTAACATTTACCAGCTGTGATACAATGTCCTGTTTGTCTGTTGCAGGTCACATGACTGGAAAACCCCCTGACATTGACCTTCCCCCACCACCAATCCCTCCGCCTCAGGAGAGTCCCAGCCCACGGAAAAAGGGTAAGATTGAACAGATGTTTGAACTGTTGTAGCGGTGATTCAGTCAGCCGTTTAAACAGAAAACACAGGGCAGGAAAAATGCAATAGAGGGTTATCTTTTATTGTGTTCACTTACGTTGTTTGTCTGTTTCTGTCTTTACAGGTGACCTGGAGAAGGTGAGCGAGTTGATCTCGGGGCTGGCCCCGAGGCCTGAGGAGGAGAGCCCGTATGAGGCTCTGTTTGAAGCCACCTCTTGCCACTCTCTGGACAGCCTCACCAGCGGCAAATCCTCTGACAGGGACTCTGGACGGCCGGATAGTGAAGCTGGCAAGGTCAGCAGTAGTTTAACTGTAACCCACACATACACATGCAGGCAAAAATGCTAAGCTTGTCACAAGGTTTTATAGGAGATGAAATGCAGAACTCCCACTAGAGGGTGATAGAGGTCCTCTATCTACATGACTGGGCCTCAAACCCCTCCAGCATTATCATTACTTCTTTTGGTACAGAGGGGGTATGCAGTACATTTCTTAACTTAGTTCTTGCAATGAACTCATGATAGATAGATTAGCAACTGTATATTTATTGCATCTTATCTTCCTGATAATTTACAGAAAGATCGCCTGCTCCACTCATCACATCCTGGCCATGAAGAAGAGGTGAGCTCAAAGGTGACGAGCTAAGATCATGAAGCCAAGAGAAACGTGTTGCCATCTAACACCACAGACATATGTGTCATATGTACTGTTTGTAGCACAGTAGATGTGTGGTAGATGCGTAGTCATGGTAGTACGACTTCCTTTTAAAAGTTAGTTCTGAGGGATTCATTAAAACAATGTCACAGGGGCTGTTGGAAAATAATTATCTGCCTCTGAGAAAGCCAGTGTTTTTTCGCCACGACCCTTGTCACGACTGTTCTCTTCCGGCCGCTGCTCAAATCAAACGACTTCTTAATAAATATTCATCTGAGTGCGGCGTGGGATACAGGCAGCGGGGGCGTAAAAAGGAGGAGAAGTGAAGTGGAAAAGAAGTGAAGACAGAATCAGAGAACCTGCCTCAACTGTGGCTGACCATAGAGGAGGCACTGTTGAAGGATTATTAAGGACACTTTATTTTATACTAAAACATAAACAACCAGATATTTGGACCCTAAATTATAACCTGCTTTGGTGAATGCTTAATAGTAAGTCATTCCAAGTTGTGATTGTGCATAACATTTTCTTTTCACCTTCTTACCCTCTACTTTCTCCTTGTCTCTGCTCTCTTTGTTTCTTTCTCTGCAGGCCCTGTATACTAATAGCAGCATTGATGAGAGAGGTGAGCCGGTGGAGGAGGAGGATCACACGTATGAGTTGTTGCTGACTGCACAGACCAAAGTCCCACCGCCCGGCCAGGAGTCCCAGTCCAATAAAGGTAAGCGTGCACTTTAAGTATAATCCAGAGGGAGGAAGTAATACTATGAAAAGTTTGTGCATACAAGATTTTTCTGTTGGTAGGAGATGTTGTTCCTAGGTAAACTCACTCAGTGACCCCTCATTCGTGCCAGGATTATAGCAGAGTTAGTAAAGAGCTGGGCTACTGTTTCCAAAATACTTCTTAAAACTCCACTGATGCTGTCTGAGCACAACAAGAACCCAAATACATTCCTAACCTAACCTACACACGGTCAACCCTTGCCATACACACACTTGTCTGTGTGTCGCACATGAGCAGACCCTCCTTTGGTTGTGGCTGATGAATGGCACTGCATGTAATTGGATTAAATGGGATTAAATTAGAAGGCCATTTGGATCCCTAGCTGTTGATGTTGATGTTTTAAAACCATCCCCTCGGGCCTTCCAGCTTAGTCAGCTTCACTGGCACCATTAGAAAACGTCACGGAGCTGAAGGGTTAGAGTTTAATCGCTGATGTCATCATGCCTCCCCGATGTGGATAAATGATGTTAGGAAAAAAGGGATTCTTTACTGTTTTGCTTCCCCTCTTAAATTGGACAGAAATGTTAGACGATTCTTTTTCCGATCAGTTTTCAAACTGCTTTATTATGTCTGCATGCAGAGAGATTAATCTAAAGACTTGTAGCCCGATATGTCGCCATGCATGATACATGATTTTATTATACATCGCTTTCTCGTAGCGTAATGTGTCTCCTGACAATCAGAACTGGCAATACATTGTCTCAAGATACGTTGAGTAATTGAGCTCTGAATGGACCAAGATAATCTTTCATCTGCCCAAACCTATGTTATCTATCTCCTTTAGATGAGAACACCACTACACAGTCTTCCAACAGTGTCCTACCTCAGGTAAATACTACATTCTTCTTTTCATCCTTCTCATATCTTTTACATCTTTTTGCAAGTTTTACAAAAAAACATATGGATGGACTTTTGACAGTCACATAACAGTTTCCCTGCTGCAGTTTTTAAATTGCACATCTGGAGCATGACCATATAACCAGAGCAGGTTATATAATGAAGATGAAGGTCTCCTCACAGTCAAAGATTGAGTCATATGTCAGCAGAAGGCAGAACTCATCTCAAACTGGCCCTCATAACTGGGTGTCTGTGTAAACCTGCCTGCTTTATTTATTGTCCTATTATATATCATTTTATTGCCTTTTTCAATTTATCATCCAGTTAGTGGCTTTTATTATTGCTGCCACCCTGCTATAACCCCACCTGCTGCCCACAATATCTGCTCACATCTTTTACTTCAAGCTCCTATTGGATTAGCTGTGCTCCTCAGCAGCCTAGTTATTATAATAATAACAATAATAATAAATGAGCAGCACAGTGTCCTTTCTGCTCTAATGTACATTCTTGTGAGCTGAGCCACATCATGGCTGATGTTCGTAAACCCACCACCAGTGCTGCCATGCAGGCAATTAGTTGGATTGCATCTTTGCTTCATGTTAAACGAGCTGAATAATTAACTTTGGCTATTACTTGGTTAACTGCAGGTGCTAATACGATTGTCTGGCCGCACAGGAAGTGTTTGTGAGGTACATTTTCTCTTCTTTTCTCTCCCACTTCAGCGTAAACCCACTGCCCCAAACGACCTCAGAGCCCCAAGCAAGACGAAAGACACCCTGCACCCTCCAGGACGGGTGGGCACGCAGGCACCAGGAGGTGAGTTTGGCCACTGTCCTCAGATTTTAGTAACCTGATAAGAACCAACAACTGGTGCTGGCAATGCTGTGAGGGTAAGAGAAGATGGACTGGACACATCAGACCTGAAAAAGACAAGCCAAGCATGTCAATGAAATGGGAGAAATGCATTTGAGTTTGCAGGGTGAGATGGGCTGGCTTGGATTAGCGCTGCCAGGGAATGCATGACTGGCATTCTCGAGCAGCAGAGCGGATTTGGCTCGTCGGGAGCAGGCTGATTGACATTCCCTGGCAAGTGGGCGAGACTTGTTTCATTTCCAATATGAAACTGAATTCTTGATCAGATTGTGACATTCCTATCTCAGATTCACATCCCGCATAAAGCTGGATATGCCATCTCATCCAGTCAGAAATGGAGCAGAGGTAAGGAGCATGGCCTCTGGGTTTTTCCCAGAGGACATACAGATGTCTTTATTGAATAATTATTTTTGGAACTGTAGACAGAAGCATGGTAGGCAAGCTGGTGGTGTGTGTGCTGTTTATAGTAGGAACAAGTTGTTTTTTCTTCTTAGTTTTAGGGTGGTTGGTTAATGCTTTTCTTATTCTGGTTGTGGGAAAGAGTTTGTACCACAAGAATTTATAGATGGACTGCAGCAACATTATAATAAGTCTGACTGAAAATATCTGATAATAGTTAAAACTAAGAAGACCAATTTCCAGCATTGATTTTGATTATTTAGTGTTGGTTTGGTGTCACTGCTCCTTTTATGTTGATACCATTGACTGTGCAAATGACCCTCAGAAGATTAACCCTAATGGGTTTAAACATTAAATAGATGTTTAATGTTCAACAAAAGCAGCACATATATTTTTGGAACGTGTTTTGCCGCAGGACAGAGTAAGTCAGTTTGACAGTTTTTGTTAAAAGGCTGATGTTGTGAGGAGTGAGGAAAATGTGAAACACTTCATTTCCTTTTTCCTTGCATATTGTCCTTAGTGACTCTAAAGTTATACTCTCCTTTCCCTTTTTTAAAGCCTCAAAAACCACAAGTTTGGTTTAAATGTGAATACCACTGTGATTTTTCTTCTTATTTCTTCTTTTCTGTTTGCACATCAGCAAGTTATAGTTCCCACTCTTGTGTTTTACATAAACGCAGACAGCTGGCAGAACCTAAATAGGGATGTGGTTTTC